GGCCCGGGGCAGGGCCTGAGGCACAAGCGCGGCGTGCCCGGCCCCCAGAGCGGCTGCGGCCTTCGTCTGGCCGCGCAGGCTCCCGCCCCCGGGGGAAATGTCTCCCTGTCCCTCCTTTCCTGACTAGAAAGCACCAGAGCGGCGGGCCTCGGCCTCTTTCGTAGCAGGACCCATTTGTAACCATGGACGGCCAGTCCGAGCTCAGTGCTCCTTCCTCACTCCCTTCCCGCTGCCCCCGCTCCTGGTCCCAGCTCCTCCGTTTTTCTTCTTTAAAGGAGAACACATTTTTAAAGTTTGTTCACGACCCTTTCATACTGTCTTGAGACCCATGGGTTGAGAAACGCTGCACCAGAGCAGCTTTTATGGCGCAGGGTGGGTTGGACACGTGGGTTCCTGCTGGAAGCCTCTGTGACTCCTCATGCTGGACGTCAAATCCTGCCAGTGTTGTGTGGCCGCCACAGTCCCCCTAGAAGGCTCTTGGGGTGCCCCAGGGTGCAGCAGTACCCCAGTGGAGACTCCTGGCCCTAGTGTGTAGCTCTCTTTCATGTCATTCTTGGGAGAGGGGGAGTCCCCAACAGGCCAGCAGTCAGCCCTGTCTGGTGACCCCTGCGGAGACTTCTGTTCACCTGCACCCCACTTAGCACAGTTGCAGCCATATGCCCTTGGGTTATGGTGGTGGTTTCCTGGCTTTAGCAGCTGATGGCTTTTTGGGGAACCTGTAGAGCCAATGGAGCACCTTTGTAATAGCTTGTGGGGCCATGCTTTACTCATGAAAAGAACTTGGCCATCTGTTGAGGAAGTTATTATACCTTCAGCCCCTTGTTTTTGCCTCTTAAACAACAACTGCCGTGGGCTTGTCTTGGTTGCGTATTACATCAATGCTCCCAGTACAGCCCTGAGCTAGGACTTGGAAATTTTAGCATGAGAGAACCTCGGTTTCTGTCATCCTGTTCATCCCAAAGGTTCCCCCAGTGGGTCATGGACAGACTCTTGTATGAAGTCTACTCTTCATTCTCCTGGGTGCTGCCATGACTGCTGTGGTGCTACACTAGTGGGCAGTTATGCTGGTGTCTGGCACTGTCCTCCACACCTGGTTTGAGAGAGTAGGAAAATATTTACAGGCCACAGCCTCCCTTATTCTTCTTTCTGGCTCTTTTTGTTTGTATGGTGCTCATTGGCTCTGGTTATTTGTCCCATTGTGACCAGGGAAGCAGGATATGGAAGATATTAATGAATGTGACAGATGTTCATTTGAGAAGGTACAACTTAGAGGAAAATTCTCATATTGCTTCAATACTGCTTGGTACAAATATGTTGTTTTTTGGAAGAGACGGATGCCTCCTTTTAGCTTTCTCTAGTAATAGATTTCTAACCAGATTCCTAAATTAGAACTGCAGAATGTACCAGAGAGAAGTGGACTTTTCCTGATTCCTCACAGCATGAATTCACTTATATGTTGACCGCTGTGCCCTACTTAGTAATGTATCTCTTGCCCCAGCAGATATTATATTTTTGAAGCTAGTAGGAATGTTATTGTGGGGTTGCTGTCTTATTTTGTTGTTGTGTGACAGCCTCCCACAAAACAACAAATGTGCCTAATCAATGTCACTAAACATAAATAACCCCAAAATTCAAACTTGCAAAAAATGAGAAATGACCATCACACACACAGCTGTTAGACTGACTTGACTGCTACTATGACCTTTCTGAAATAGAGTTTAACTCTTGAATATTATAGGAATCATAATTTAGCTTTTATAGTTCCTAGGAATTATAATTATGTGCCTAAATACTTGGAGATGAGCATGTCAGAAATGCTGATGCCTAGGCTTGGCTGCAAAACTAATACAAGAATACATCACTTTGTATTAGTGCTACACTTCTAATACAGGCAAATTACTTTGACTCAGGCTGCAGTGATACTGCTGACCCATGCATGCTTTTGTCTTGAGTGACTCTCCATTAAAGGATGAGCGAGAAACAGGAAATGAAAAGAATTTTTAAGTGGCAACACTGTCTGCTAAAGGGCATATGTGCCTCCACAGGTTTTTTAACAGGAGTAGGAATAAATTAATTCTCATGAACTGTATAAGGGAGAGGACTATTCTCCTGTGTTCCCTACTGACATTAATTAGTATGCCCATAAATGTTGAGTTGGATGCCATTTTATGGATGTTCATGGATATTGGATACCTACCAGGTGATGATTTATCATGGTCTTCCCTGTTCTTATACTGGGATTTCTTTTATCCTGGTAATTTCCCCAGTGGAGCTTTTTCATCTCCAAAAGTTTTGTGGTTCCTGTGTTGGGAGTGGCCTCTCCATCATCCTGTCATATATGCATTTGAACAGGCTATCAATAGAGGAATGATTCTTCCTCTATAGTTGATCTTTGCAGTAATGTAACTGGCTACCAGAATGGCTCTTGTGCTTTCCCTGAAATACGCCTACTCCAAAATTTCTAGGTAATGGTTAGTTGTCAGAAGTTTCTGATTTCCACACCCCACATGGCTAACTGTGTGCCAGTGTTCATAAAATCTCTTTTGCAATATTTAGACAGAAGATAATGATAAATAAGATCAGTTGACAGCCTTCTAGCACTGTATGAAAAATATGAAACCAATCTAAAACTTACTGTCATTTAAACTAGTGACTGCGTCATTGAAGTTAACTGCACTGTGCCAGCAAAACTACGCAGAATATAGTCTAGCGTATCCAAGGGGCAGCCTTAGCTAGTTAGGACTGCAGGTCTTTTTAACATTTATATTTATGTCTCTACAATTCAATTCTTCTATTGTATTCATATGATTTGAATACACGGAATTGTAACTGATTTCACTCAGGGTGGATTGGTTTAAATCAAGTCTATTTAAATCAAAACATAGTATGCACTTACAACTAACTAATTTATTAAACACTAGTGTTAACTGTTATAGTGTTAGAAGTATGAACTGTGGTTAGTGAAATGAACCAGTTATTTCAGGTCCCCTGGAGAAAAAATTCTAAAATGCCTAGGTGAAAGTCATTTGAGCTTAAGTTCCTACTTGCTTAAGTCTCTTTAAAATGAGACCATCTTTTTTGCCTAGGCTGTTTTGAAAGTTTTTACCCCGTTCAGATTTTTAGAACTCAAAAATCTCATCCTCCCCACCCCATTTATTCACGGACTAGAAGCCAAAAAACAATCTCCTGCTTTTACAATTCCCAGTCAATTTCTCAGTTTTGATTGAACCAGTCCAAATGAAGAAAATACTTTTTCTGCACCTAAAGAAGAGGCTACTGCTGGTAAAAGCTGGCTTAACACTTCCAGGGCTTTGCTGGTGACTTCCACCAGCTCAGTGGTGTGACTTTCCTTAAAACATCCTCAGCAAACATGTACTGCTTGAATAGTTCGTCTGTAGCCCTGAAATTTATTATGGTTGCCATGGCTGATGGGTGATTAGTAGATGCCTGTGTCATAGCAGTATTTTCTGTTCGGCAGTTAAGACAAAGTACCAGGGTAGATACTTAAGAATATTGGCAAGAAAATGAGGTGCATCAGATGAGCACTGCACCCCATACATTATAATTTTCAGGTTTGCTTCATTATCTTCTAAGTTTCTTCCCATCTTTGTTACATTTGCAGCATTGTGTGTGAAAAGGCCTTGCACATCACACTTGATTTTTTGCTCAGTTTGTTATAGCTTTTACTGCTGCTACTTTTAAATATTCTGCAGTGTGGGAATTTCCTGATGTATTAGTTGTTTCTGTGAGATCCAGTCTTCTGTTGTCACACAGGCATGTATGACTGAATCGTTGCATACATTGCTTCATCCATCAAGATTCAAATGAACACTTTCCCCCTCTATATTTTTGCACACTTCAATTTCCTTCTTTGCTGATCCTTTGCATCCAGTAGTAGAGACCTGCATCCTTTGCAGGGTCAGGCCTCTAATACATGAAATACTGTGCCATATTTTTAAAGCTTGACCTCAAAAGTTAACTGTTTCCCTCCTCATTCTTATAGAGAAGAAAAACAATCTTTAACTCCAGAGTTTTTAGTAGAGGCTCATTGACTCAACATATCTTATTTAAATTATTTTAATAGATTACCTTAAATTTATACCTTAGCCTATGCTGTATTAAATTGACATTTTGTTTTAAGATGGCTTATTTTAAAAAAGGAAAACTTAAATATTTAAGTTAAAAAATAAAAAAAAAATTTCAATTTAAAAAAAATCAGTTAAATAAAAAATTCATTTTTATCCACTCTGACTTCAGTACCTTAAATAAGCCAGTAAGTGAAAAGAACCATGGATTTTTAACCCGTGCTTTGTATTGGCTTTTTGGCAGATGCCTTCTTTACATGTCGAAAAAATGTGCTTCTGGCGAAGAGCCCGTCCACCAAGGTAGAGGGCACTTCTGCTGTGGCTGGTGGGAGGTTGGTCCCAGAAGAGCAGGAAGCCCTGCTTCAGCAGTGGCTGGAGGAAGGATCTGGTGTGCTACACACCAGTGAGAGCACTTCGTCAGTGGGGAAGGTATCAGCCACACTGACTAGTGACTGGTGTGAAGGCTCAGAGTTATTGATGACCAGCCTTAGTGACTTGAATGTGGCTCCAGAGGTCACGTGGTGCAGTGATGAGCGTGCTGATGAGCTCCATACCTTAGTGTCTTCAGGACGACAGCAGGATGCAGAAGTTGAATTGGCAAAATTAGCAACAGAGGAAACAGTGGCTATAATGGGCAATGCAGAATGGGCAGCTATAAAACCACAGACAGATCATCAGATTGCTGGCTGCACCTCTCCAGCCACAGAGAGGCCAATTGAAGACCCAGCTGTGCTGGGATGGAGTTTAGCACTTGACACAGACATTATGCCAGTGGAAACCCCAGCCTGGTCCTTTCAGGATATGATACAGCTTCAGCCTCTTCCAGTTGAGATACCTTACCATGGTGAGTATTAATGCAGTGTTGTTTGTGATTCTGAACCTACTGTGCTAAAGTAGAGCTTGCTAGCGCACCAAAAGTTGTTGCTCTTCCTGTATGTGGAGGCTGAAACATGGAGAAGCTGGTTATGTCTGACCTGGCTGCCAGAAAGGAGTAGGTTGTATCTTTCCATGTTAGGTTGATGGCATCTCCTAATTGATATAATAAAAATAATTTTTCCAAAGAGAAAGCTGATCAAGAGGAAAGTTAGTAATGTCATTGAACTGGCTAGTGTTGCATGACACAGTTTCATTTAAGTCATGTTAGTGATGGTCTTTAGGGGTGGTTGACTTTCCAGAAAATTGTCAATACTTATCCAGATTAATCCAAGAAAGTTATTCACGGGCACATTCAATGTTCAAAAAGTGCAGGTTCAGGGAATGGGAAAACAGCCATGTCCCAGCCAGTAATGGCATCATAGAAAATGGGTCAGATCCATGGTGGGTATCCCTCTAGCTCCTGTCTTCCTGTCTCCTGATACCTTTAGAGATTTTATGGAGAGACTGGGAAGATCTTTCTGTACAGTCCAGTACACCAGAGCCATGCTTGGAGAATGCTCCTCTCTTTGAATTTCGAGTCATGTCTTATAACATTCTGGCCCAGGACCTGGTGGAACAGGGCCCTGATCTGTACCTGCACTGCCAGCCTGACATTCTGAACTGGAACTATCGTCTCCCAAACATCTTGCAGGAGATACAGCACTGGGATCCTGATGTGAGTACTGCCGGGGCTCTTCCATGTTGTATGTCTTCAGGACTTGAATTCCTTATTCTATCTAACTTCATGGTCCTTTAAATGAATGGGCATCCAAGGAGGAGGCTGGCTGCCACGGGCACAAGGCTTGAGCCTCTGGAGTGGTTGGAGCCCTTGGGTGTGTGCTCATAGGAGCTTGTATCCTGACTTCAGTGTGTACCACATGCTCCAATCATGTTTGTATTGGAAGGCCTCTACTTCCGCCAGTAGAAGTGGGGGCAGGAGAGTGTGGTACATCCTTTGCTGAGACCCTGTAAATGAGGTCTAGGAATAGATCTTATTCCTCCCCCAAGTCCCCTGAGAAAGTAATTGCCAAGCACTGGTGGAGTGAACAAGGTCTCTGCCTTCTTTCTAGGTTCTGTGTCTCCAGGAGGTACAAGAGAATCATTACTGGGAGCAGCTGGAGCCAACATTAAGGATGATGGGTATGTCCCACCCTTCTGTAGGTGTCTGGAGCTCCAGCTTTGAGGCTGGCTGAGGAACATGCCATCCTGATATTTCTAAAGTTAGTCTGTCTGTCTGCCCCTCTCCCCATTGGTTTTGGTCGCTGCTGAAGATCTCTAACCCTGCACTCCTCTTCATTTCCTGGTGTTTGACTGTTTTCCAGATTGGCAGATAAAAGGCTAACAAAATTCATTTGGGCTTGGACAGACCTAAAGACTTTTGGCTATAAACAGTAATTTTACGAGTCAGAACTACCTGTAGCAGAATGAGTCTGAGGAAGACCTGCTGCTTAGGGCAGGGCTGTCCAAATTCTAGGCCCCCACAGGCTGCATGCCATGCAGACACTCCCTCCCTCACTGTTGCACCATGCAGCTGCATGATCCCCTCTCTCCCTCTGTCCCCTGTGTCCCTCCCACCTCCCCTCCTCTTGCTGCACTGTACCCTCTTTGTGCAACCCTGGACTTAGCTTCAGCATCGTGCAGTGCCCTGTCCCCTGGAGTGAAAGTAGGAAGCTATAGCGGAGGAGGGAGGAAGGAGCAGCGAGGGGAGGACATAGAGACTCTGACTGCTGTTGCAGCCAGTAATGGGGTGAGTGGCATAACTCGAAGGTATGGGCTGAAAACAAGAGAGATCTTTCACAATCTAGTAGACCTTCTTGTCAAGAGCAGTCTCCCAAAAGGAGTAGCGGAAACTCTACTGGTTGAGCCATTTAAAACCAGACTGGGCAGAAGTCCTGTGCAACAGACTTTGGACTTTGGGTTCTCCTGATGGAAGGTGGTTTCTTTTCAGGCTTTGTGAGCTTCTACAAACGGAGAACAGGGAAAAAGACAGATGGCTGTGCAGTGTGCTACAAGCATGCCAGGTTCCAGTTGGTCAGTGTCAGCCCTATTGAATACTTCCGGCCTGGTCTGGACATCCTCAACCGGGACAACGTGGGTCTGGTGCTGCTGCTGCAGCCCTTACTCGCAGAAGGCATGGAACAGAAAACAGCCAGTCCCTTGTGTGTGGCCAACACTCACATGCTGTATAATCCCCGCCGGGGAGATATCAAACTTGCACAGATGGCCCTGCTCCTAGCAGAGATTGACAAGGTTGTGAAGACTGTTGAAGGCAGCTACTGCCCTATCATCCTGTGTGGAGACTTGAATTCTGTACCCGATTCTCCGTTATACAGGTTCATCCGGAATGGTCACCTCGCTTACCATGGGATGCCAGCCTGGAAGGTGGGTGCACTGAGTATGGCTTGGGACAGTTCAGTGTTGTAGGGGATGGAGGGCCTGTACAGCTATCTTGATCACTGTTAGAAGGCTACTCCCACTTAAAATGAATCAGCACCATTCAGCCTCAGACTCTTAGGCAGTGTCTCCCTTCTCATGTTCCTAACACAGTTGGAGATTTCTGAAGCAGGAATATATATATATAATTCTCACCACCAATTTTGCTTGTTTAACTGGGTTTCTTTTTTGGTTCAGACAATGAAACTACATTGACCAGTTCTAGCTCCTTCATTAAACCATGGCTGTTGGTTTTGGTGACTTTTTGATGTATGGGGAAGTGCCAATTCCTGGACAAGTTTGTCTTTATGTATAGACTTCAGACTCTGATGTATACAGGCATACTTCACCTATTCAAGTACTGTTTGTATCTCTGTGCCTAGATTCACAAACATTTGCAAGCTCTTGCACAAAAGCATTAGCTTTCAAAATAGTGCATGCAGGATACCTCCCTACAGATGATTATTTTTTTTTTCTTACTAGTCCCATGTTTTCTAACCTGCAGTTGCCCTGGGGATCTATATTTTGCTTATTTTGCTCATGTGGCTATACTGATTTGGCTTCATACAGGCCTTTTGTGCATTTCATTTTATGAAATATGTATGTTTATCATGGGAAGCTTCTGCTTTGTTCTTGATTTTTCTATTTTTACCTCTGTGGTGGTGCCTCTCTGCAGGTATCTGGACAGGAAGACTTCTCCCAGCAGCCACACCCACGGAAACTACTAACACCACTCTGGCCCAGCTCTCTGGGTATAACAGAAAGCTGCCAGTATGTCACTCTTTGCCAGCCAAAAAAATCAAGTGAGTTGTAGTGTGATTATGGTTTCACTAAGGGAGCATGTTGCTCCTCTTTTCAGCCTAGCAGTTTTCCCCTCTTGGAGGATGTTGGCAGAGCTTCTGGGCAGGGTGTGGGATTTGCTGCAGTGAGCAGTGTTCTGGGCAAGGATTCTTTCCTCCTTCTTTGCCCTACCAGCCTGAACTATATCTCTTGTAAACTTCATTATTCATCCCAGCCTGGGTTTCTGCCATGTACCTGCACTTGCAGGAAACTGAATCAAGAGCATATATGCTCTTGGTGTCACACAAGTACTTTCCCCTGTATGTTCTAGGTGCACCAAAAGATTCTTGTATTTCTCCTCGGATCCTCCTTAAAGTAGCAAGTGCTCTGTCAATCTGCTCTGCAGAGATGCTTCAGCCAAAACAGCCCATGTCAAATAGCTCTTGATGAAGGGCCAGTGGAGATAGAGTTCTGTGGTGATCAGGCTGAACCTTTGTTTCTTTAAGGCAGGTATCTCCTCAGAGTGTGTGCAGAAGTAATTTTTGAAACATTTCCAATATAAGATTGAAAGCATTTTAGCCACATGATGTGTACAGCCCCCTTGCAAGCCCTAGTTGGAGTGCTTCAAAATTGCCACACTTCGTGCAGCTGCAGCTTCTCAGCAAGGGGGCATTATGTGGAATTCCACTCCCCCCATTCTGTTCTGGTGAGAGGGAGAAAGGAGAGGTAGCAGGGATAGGGACTGGAGAGCTTGTCATTGGTGACAGTATCATAGTCCCCTTCTCTCTCCTCTCTCCCTCTCAATGGAGCTGAGGGGTAGAAGGGATTGGTGCTGTGGAGTGGGGCACTGGAGGTGACAGGGGTTCTGAGTGCTTTGAGTATCTGGGTCCAAAGTAGGATCTTGGTAGTAGAAGGGGAGTGTGGAGCACTGTGGGATTCTGGTGAACACAAGGGTCCCCTGGTCTTGTGCACACGTAACAAAATAGTACCTTGTCTCAAGAGGTAGCATTCTGAAGTTTTTCAGTTGCTTTTGGAACATTTCAAGGAGCATGTATATTTGTACCATTGGCCCTTTCAAAGATGTTTGAAATGTTTCAGTTATTACTTCTGCTCACACCCTCCAACACTGATCTTGGACCCAAATGCTTTATTTGAAAATCAGCTCCTTTTTGACACTGGAGCACTAAGGAGATGTATGCTCTTGATTTGTGGAATACTGTGATACCACAATGGTGAGTCAGCTATAGGTATGTAAGTCACTGGGACTAACTTAGTCTTAGACTGTCCCTTTTCTTCTTCAAGTCCCTCATCATGGCATTAGAGTGCCAAGGCATTCAGATTCCTTGCTGAAGTTGCCACTAGGGCAAACCAAATAGATGCCTAGCATCCTCTATAGATCTGCATTTTTTTTTTTTAATTCCCTACGTTTGAGCTGTCCCTGTCTCTGCAGATAGATGCAAGTACAGCCGGGATTTCCTGCTGCAGTTCCGTTTCTGTGATGCTGCCTGTGAACGACCTTCAGATCTGGTCCTGCTGGAGGGTGTGACAGATGCTAAACCAGGTACCAATGGCAAAACCACTCTTCTGCAGGTCGGAGCTGCCTTTGTGAAAAGGACCAGCTGGTAGAGGGTGATTTGACACAGTTAGCTTGAAGAGTGGAGACTCGAGGGAGAACATAATGCTTCCTGGTCACAAACAGATTTTGTAAGGGCTTAGCAGCAGTTCTCTCCTCTCACGCTGCTTGAGATGTCAACTTTGTCTTTTACTCCTTTTCAACTTTGCCTTGACTCTCCAGTCTGCACTGTTTGTCCTAAGGGTGCCTTGTCCTTGGGTACCATCTGTAGGATAAAGAGGAACTGTTGGGGTAGTGGGAAGAGACCTGATGTCTCCTGGGAGGAGATTTCCAACTTAAATTGCTCCTGGTCCAATGGCACATCCAACCAGAATCTCTTTATTCCTTTTATAGAACGTCCTACTTATCGGGCCAAGCACCTTGCCATGGGGGATGACCCTCATCTAGAGCCATTCTTCCCAAGGTAATGTGGACAAGGGAGACTAGGTGGGTCCCTGGAGGCATGTGATACCTCTCTTGGGAGTGACCACTTTCCATGGACCCTCCTGTGATCATGAGCAACTAAAATAATGTAATGGGCAAAATAACTTAGCTTGTCCCCATTGTGACCACAAAATAACACCCTGGGGGTGGTAGAGAATCAGCCAGAAAGTTCCATCTAGAGTTACTGGAACCATTTAAGGCTGTTTTTAGCAGCTGGGAACTGCCAGGTCAGCATTGGACTGGTGCTGCAGCTCAGTCAGCTCAGGAGTGGGATGCGTGGGCAGAGGTGTGGTGATGATGGAGGAGTTTCCCCAGACCCTGCCTGCTAATTGTCTTGATATAATTGAAAGGGATTATGAACATTAAGGAATAATGGAAAAAAATGTAGCAATGTTGTATGAACAGTTGCACCAGGAAGGCAACTTCTTTGTGTTTCCATTGCCAAGTTCAGCATCTGATCTGTTTCCTCTGTGCAGGTCTTCAGGTGTAATCCAGCATGGCCTTAACTTGACCTCTGTGTACAGTCACTTCTTGCCTCAGAGAGGTTACCCTGAGGTCACAACTATGCCTATGGGCCTTGGAGCCACGGTTGATTATATTTTCTACTCAGCAGAGCCCACTGAGAATAGGAACAAAGCGGGTGAGTGTGGCAACATGGGGCCTCTTAAAAGGAGGGAAGGAACTGTATGGTACAGCAGAATGGAGTGTTTAATGGTGTCCCTGCCATGGCAGGAGTGGGGCAGTGGGTGAGGCAGCAAGCAGCTTCCAGGGATTTGTACCCAGAGGGGACTAAGTGTTACAGGGCACATGTACATGTGAATTAAAGCACTTTAGTTAATGCACATTAAACCTAGTACCTTCAGGTGCCTATACATGAGCACCGAGTCTGCTCTGACACACTGGAATTCCAGTGTGTCAGAGCAGACTCAGTTAATCAAGCCTGCTGGAGTGTAGCAATTGCTACGCTCCTGCAGCCTCCTGTACCTCATCTGTCAGCATACCCATGCTTAAGTCATGGTTGGGGGCACTTGAACTAAAGCTCACCACCCCCAAACCCTGGAGCACGTGTAAAAGTGCCCTCCATCGTGAACTACTAGGAAAATACGCATTAGCCTGTCTTAATGTGCATTAACTAAAGAGCATGTAGCTCCTATGGACGTGGGGAGCCTGCTCCAATGCACTGGAAATCCAGCATGTCGGAGCAGACTCGATTTAATGGAGTCTGCTGGAGCATGGAAATTGATGCACTCTGGCGGCCTTCCGTGTCATATGTATCAGTGTCCCTGTGCTGAAAAAATGGCGGCAGGGCACTTTGAAATAAAATGCGTTTGATAAACTTTAGTTCAAAGTGCCCCATTGCCATTTTCTAGCATGGGGACGCTGATACATGTGACACTCAGGCACTTTTAATTAGCCCCGATCACTAATTAAATTGCCTGGTGCTGCATCCCAGAGCACATTTAAAAAACTATGGGCATTTTTACATGACACTTAATGGGCATTAACTAAATAGCGTGGTTTTTAGTGATGCTTTAATGCGCATTAAAATAGGCTAATGCACGTTAAAGCGCATGTCTAGACGCACTCATATCGTAGGAACATGATCTTCTACCCCAGTGCATGACAAGATTACCGAACTTCATGTTATGGAGAATCTGTAAGTGATCCGTCTGTACTGGTAAAAGCATATAAGAGGACTTCCAGTAGCATAGACTACTACTTTCTGTATTCTAGATTTTTGTACTGGGTCAGTTGATCTAGCTGTTCTACATATAGTTTGTACTCTGGACCACACCTCTAGTACATACAATATGTACCTTGGACCACACTTTTGGCTTAGAAGCAGCACAATCCATTCCTAGAAAGAAGCTTATCATATCACCGTCCGTTGATGCTGCCATCCACGCTGCCTCAGGCAGGAGTTGAGTTGATGGGGCTATCCAGCCTTTTGGCTGATGTGTCCTTCCCATTCCCTCACCAGGTCGCAGGCTGTATCGAGATGGAGCCCTGAAGCTGCTTGGCCGCCTATCCCTTCTCTCTGAAGATGTTCTGTGGCTAGCAAACGGTTTACCCAATCCTTTCTGTTCATCCGATCACCTCTGTTTGTTGGCTAGCTTTGGCCTGGAGATCTCCAGCCTCTGAAAGAGGAAAGTTCTGTGGTCCCCTCTCCCCTGATCAGAAGAGTTGATCTGAATGCAGAAATCATGCATCTGGAGCCCCAATTTGCACATGGGGAAATTCTCTCCTGCTCCCCCCAAATTCCTGTTTTTGAGGTTCTCCTCTTCTTCTCTGTAATGGGAGTTTGGTGGGCAGGGGAGATTGCAGTTATTGCTAATCCACAGGGCTCCAGTGGTCTAAGCTCCATTGCTGACTGATGTCCAGTTGTACTCTGGCTGCACCCTCTCTTAAATGGACCCTGGCAATTAACTCCCCTTTTGTCCTGCTTTGGCCTGTTTTAGTGCTGCAGGAGCCAAGACTCCCTCTTGTTTACTTGTCTCTTCTCCAACTCCTTGGAGCTAGGCCAGAAGAGATGCAGATTTGACAGAATATGGGTTTTTTTTAAATTGACTGTTTGCTGCCAAGCAGCATGGGGCGCTTGCATCCATTTTCGTTCATGCCAAAGTGGCGTTTCTTTTAATTTCTCAGCAAGAAGATATGAAATGCAGCCCCTTTAAGCTATACCCAGGAGTTTAGGTTTTGTAGGCAGGAACAGGCTTGGTGACTGCTCAGTAACAGAACTGAGATGACCTCCACCCAGTGATGCCTAAGGGTATTCTGTATTGGGCGTACTCTGTTCTAAACCCAGCGCACATGCCACAGGGTGAGTTCCTGAACTCCTTTTCTGTAGGGGATATCTACACTTATGACCCACTGCACCAATGACATCTGAAACTAGAATTGGTATTATATGGAGGCCACTGTTTTGCTCTGATGAGCTGTCAAACCACCGTAGCAGAGGCCTAAAATCCTTGGGAAGGCTTCCAGTACTTCTTCCCTGACTCTCAGAACAGTTTCTGTTCTCTCATACCTGCAAGCTTTAGAGACGGATTTGTCGAGATCCTTCTTCAGAGGAGAAAGTGGTGCTCTCTGGCTAGATAAGAAAGGAGAGTACTTAGAGGCTGTAGCCCTGTTTATTCACAGAACAGTGCTGAAGACAGCTGTGGAGCCCGGTAAGCAGAACCATTTGGCTGGAAATGCTGCATCTACCTCCTCCTCCCGTTCCTGTCAGTCTGCACTTCCTCTATCCTCCCCAAGCCCCAGCTGTTCCCTTTGACCTACCTCCTGGCCCAGACAGTGTCATATAACATCATTGCCTTTTTCTGGAACTTGCCCTTCCCTAGGTTGGTGAGCTGATAAAGCTACTCCCCTGACATTGATGTGGAGGCCTGTGTGTTTTGGAGCCAAAGTTTCAATAGTTGGATCCATTGTAGCTTTAATGTCATGTTTGTTAATATAATTATTAATCATTAATAACTTGTTACTTCTGTTAAGTGTTGGAACTGCCCTCTTACCCACCCACTCTTTCCCCCTCCCAGTGGGGCAGAAGTGCCAAGCTGGCTTGGCTTCTGGGGCTCAGCTTTTTTATTAGTGTGGTGTGAGAAATATTGGTCTCAAAGAGTTCCCTCCTCTTAAAAAATATTTTGGGGTTGAAAAGGCTGACCCCACCTCAGCCAACTTTCTGGGGTAGGTTGTGGGAAGCTTGAAATAACTAAACTTTTGTCTAGAATATTTGAAAAGTACATTTGGGAGGGTTCATTGTTTTAAATGTTACTTTCTTACGCGTTTGAAAAATAAAATTTTAGAATGTCAGAACATTGCATGGTCAGTGCACCTGCTGGGGCTCCTTGGGGGCACAGCCGCCTCCTTCTAGGGGCCTGATTACACCCTGAGGTTCTGTTAGCCAGAGATGTGGAAGAGGGTCAGGTTTTGTGCTATGAGCTGTGTGAGGGTGGTGGCAATGAGGAGGGAGAGAGTGCTTGGTTGACAAGTTATCAGCTTAGGCCTATTCATATCAAACCGGGCATCAGGAGTCTTGGCTGTTGCTGTTGTTTCCTCCCGCACAGCCCCAAAATCCTAGCAGTGACCTGTTTGTGAAACAGCTTTCTGTGCAAGCTCAGTCTGGGAACCCCCTCCCTCACCCATCATGCAATCAAGGAAACCCACTGAACTACTGCTGGTTTCTAGAGTCACTGGCCAACTTTCAGATTGTATCAGCAGCCTCTGGTTCCCCTTAGTGAACCCTAATCTTTTCTTCATTCTGTGCTAGGGTAGAACTGTGCTTGTATACTGTCTCCACCTTTCATCACATACTTATGGGGTGATCTCTGCTTGCCAGTGTATGAGTGGATGCATTTCTACTCCTGCTGTGGGAAACTGTGGGCGAGTAGGAAACTTGTTCCTCAGAGTGTGTGTGGTCTTTCTGAAAAGTCATTTGGTGACTAGGTTTGCATTTGCCCTCTCTCTTGCTTTCTGTAGTACCTCCTGGCCCAACTAACATTGATATTTTTAGGATGATGATTGGGGATTGAGCAGAGAACTGTTAGCTACTGGAACATGCATAGAATTCTGTTTGTTTTATTAATTGCTGCAGTAGTTTTTATTTTGACTTTTGTGACTGGTGTGCTTGTTCACAAATATAAACCCAATCCATGTAACCTGCCTGAGAACACCCATTCCTACACCAGACTGTTTCTAAGGCCTACCTGAATCTAAAAAGTTTAGTTTGTACTAAAATGGTCACAGGCTGGACATGTTCAAAAGGATGAAATTGTGGGAATTAGGTGAAACCCTCCAAAATTCAAAGTGCTCGGAGTCATGTGACAAAGTGCAAAGTATTTGAACTCAACTGATGTTGGTAGCCACTGCTTAAGTAAAGGTTGCAGAGTATTTACTTCAAAGATGCTGGCTCAGATCCTATTATTGAGATTCAGTTACTTTTGATTTTTGAGTCAGCAAAATTCAGGAATCAATTTTTAACCAATAGATTTGACATAAGAATCTGACCAACAATTTAAAATGCTCAGACTTTAAAAAAAGATAATAAGGTCCCATGGCTACACCTCAAGTCAAAAAGGCAAGTGTGAGATTGCATATGTTGCTTTAATTCATTATGTGTATACAGATCCCTGCAGTCTTTAATTCTATACCATTTCTAAAATATTAGCTGGCATTTTTTTCTATGGAGTGGTAAGTTTCTTTATGTATATGCAACTTTTCTAGATGCTGGTAATTATATGCGAGTAGCCAGATCTAGATGATAAAACATATATTACATGCAAAGAGTGAGTAATGCAATGTAGTACTATAAGAAGAATTCCATGTGATGATGTAATTAAAGACTGAGATAACAAGTAACTTACACCAGGAGGCAAAGTTAGGTCCTTATTGCACTTTACACTGTGAGCTGTGCAAATGTTAATCAGTGTTAGTACTAGCTCAAGTTTGGTGCAGTTGCACTTCAGGCCTGAAGGGGCCTGGAGGACTAAAAGGTAAGATTTCCCCCTCTCTACCATGGTCTGTCCAGTTCCCTTTC